AGTGTGTCCTTTTTTTTTAACGTGGTTTGTCCGGATAGGGAATGGGCAAAAGGGTGAGTCAAGTGGCTGACCTGTTAATCAGGGGCGCCGCTAACTACAGCCCTAACATTGTCGCTGGTTTTAGCCGCTCCTCGCCCAGGGTTTGGATGGTAGAACCAAGTCTTCTCAGATAAGAATTTAAAAATGGAGGTCCTGTGCATACATCTGGCTGGTGTTGTGCACTTCAAAGAACCTATTGTATCTTTGGGAAGAGTAGGGGGTTACCCTAATGTTGTGGTTCATTTCAGCCCCTGTTGTTGTGGAATGATGTTAATATGTAGCTACTATAAGTGCCTCTTCACGGCTGCTATGTAATCATGGATCACGCCCATAAGCAACTCAGCACAATGACGCTGCAAGTTATGGGTTATTCTCCAATTTTTACCTTCTACTTTTTTATAATGAAATATACAAAATACAATCAGAAAAATTAATAAGATAAATAAAAATTTATAAATTGTAATGTGAGCTTAAAAATATTTAACTGCAATTCAGCCTTGACTGCCATTGAATGATTTTATGTTTGATATTTTTTAAATAAAGATACTGTTTATATTAAATGAGTTAACTTTTAACCATCCAGCTACAGCTATGGTTACAAAATGATATAAGTTTGCTTTTAAATAAGTGTCCACTGGATGAGAACTGACATTAATAAGAAATGAACTACATTAAGCTTCTTAAGGGGGTCACCAATGCTACTATTTTTTTATCATAAACTACATCAAGTGTATGACAACTACATTTGATTTATCAAGCCTAGCTACAGTATGTGCAGCATTTTTGCAGACCAGTTATTTGACTGGATTGCAGTCATGAATATGAAATAAAAGCAATGTTGCAGCAAATGAGGTGAGGTAATTATCACATTTCTATAGCTCCTTGGCATTGACTTATGCCAGAGATCTTATAAAAACAGTTCACTAACCATTTGTTTTAAGGATATCTAGTAAAATGGCGAATAACATCATTATTTTCAATGTTTTTTTTTTCATCACTAAACTTGGCATAGAATGTGGACATTCTCATCAAATTTTTGTTTGAAAGCTAATAATAGAGTAAGCCAAATATTGAATTATATATTTTTAAATTTTCTTAGCCAATTAAAGATGGTATTAAGAGTTTTATTTGAAAAAGCTCATGTTTTGAATTGTCATTTATGGTTTTCTTACCGTCAGGTTTCCTCATCAAAGGTACAACAATGTGGACCTTTCCAGTGTGTCTGTCAAACTTAATCAACCAATCAGAACAGGGATACTCGCATGTCCAACAAATGCATGTGTAAATTTATACTTTTTGTTTTGTGGGACCTTGGTAACCGTATCTAAGGGGAGGGGCTTCTCTAAAAGGTCCATTTCAAGTGGTGTTCCATACCACTGCATGTTCTTGTGTATGTAAATTTAATAAATTCAACTGATTGAGCTTATGGAGTGAGATGTTTTTGTGTGTTAAACAATAATGTACTGTGTAGGATTTCACACCAGAACCCATGAGAAAAATCGTTTCTTATTACTAGTATTTCATCTTAGAAAACTAGTATCAAATGTACTGTATAACACTGCATTTTTAAATGCTTTGAAACTATTCCATATCAACTTATTCCTAGTCAGGTACAGTGCTTATGTAGCATTATTTCATGAAGATCAGAGCGAAACATGCGCTAGCTGATACAGTAACTTTCTTCTTTCCAGGGATCTCCCCAGGGGTCTCCTCATGTCTGAGCTACCGGGTAAACCGTAGCGGGTACCCTCATCTGTGTCCACAACAGGGGCTGTATGGACCACTACATCAAGGTAACACACTAGTCATCTTAAAAAATGTACTGGGTTCTTCACAGTGCAAATGTCTGCACTGGGTTTATAATAGATAAATATACAATATATTTTTTTTGTTCCTTTACAACCAATATCATATATTTCTAGTATCATAACATACTTCTTTCGCTATTAATTGTGTGGGATTTATATAGCACAGAGAGAACGGAAAAGAAACAAGGGAAAAACTAAATCAGAAACTATCCAAATTAACTAAACTAGAAAATAAAAATACAACACAAACAGAGGAACCACGATTACCACATCATTGCATTAGATTAATTTTGTCCTTTTCAAATGCATGTTTTTCTAATATTTTTGTTTTGATAATCCAGTCATCCAGTCAAAAGATCTACTGTAAGAAATTAAATTGGTATAATTCAAAATGTAGAATAATGTGAAAACATAATGGATTTGTGAAAAATTGCAATTGTATTTATAGAATGGTTTCTACATGCATTTGTGGCGTTAAAAAGTCAAGTCTATTTATCAGAAGATCCATAGATTAAATACAGTAATGTATGTGACTATATTGAAGGAAATAATTTTATTAAATTTACAGTGTTTTGTTGCCATATATAATGATTGTAAATACAATGATTGAAACAAAAATATAGCTCTAGAAGATATTAAAATGTTTATATAGGTCTGCCATTAATTAATAATATAATGGTAATCGAAAACTCCACTCTATCCTTGGCAATGACAGTGTCAAAGTTGATTAAGGGGCAAGACATGGACAAAAAATAATGAGTGTGGTGTTAAGTAATTATAATTTTGTGGGTGTGGGGAAGAATCCCCAGGAAGCTCTGACACATACTGTAGCTATTAAGACAAAATGTGTTAGTGTCAATAGTTATTAAAAATTATGATTATGGCACTTTTAGAAGGCCAAAAATGGCACTCTTGGACTTAAATTGGAATTTATTTTTTTTAATAATTCAAAGGGAGGGAGGGGGTCTTTTGAATTCGGCAATAATGGTTCTTGTCAACTGTTATTACTACTTTGTTCCACATCATTGTATTCCTTTTGTACATACTGACTGATGGTGTATTATTATATAATTGAGTTTGCGAAAATGATTAAAATACTTAAATTAAATTATATCCTATGGAATAGAACATGCATGTTGTTCATATCCATTAACTTATGACTATTATAACCCTTCTTGTTTAAAATTCAGAAAACATAAATTAACTTAAATATGTCAAATCTTTGTTTGAAATCCATTTCCTATAGAATGCATAAGATAATGCAAATCTGGATTATTTGTTACTAACGTCTTCACTTTGGTAATATTTGTAGATTAAGAATGCAAGCCTTATGAATTTCAACGACATATCAAGTCCTCAAGATATTTACAATGGAAATTACTCAGACCATATACTGCTATTAGTATATCCCATCACACTAATATTCATTACATTTATATACATTTAAAATAAAGGCAATAAATGAGATTCATAGTTGGTCATCTTCAAGGAAATATCGCAGGTTCTTTAATCATCACAAGTGTCTTGTGGCTCGTCATATAGAATCAGTCATACTTAACAAGTCACTACATACTTGATGAAATTTTCCACAGTGTCTCCCGGATCTAGCAAAACGTGACGTTAGTTTTCTGCTGCAGATTGATTGTCCCATTGTGCCAAGGCAATGCAATCAGCGTAATTATTATGTTTATCAATCACGCAGCGTATGAATGTGATTGTACTCGTATTAATTATTATGTCAATATTTCTATTTGGTTTCTAGTTTGCTATGATATTATGTTGATGTGGTGGATCTAGTATATCTTCAATTGGCATTTCATCAAACATTTCAATTAATCTATTGTAATACAGTAATTCTCTACTTAATTAACCAATCAATCAATTGCAGTAAACAATTGATTAAGAATCTGAATCTCCCCTTTCCTATTATTTATCTGTCACAAGAGCTGGTGATATTTTGATATAATGTGATTAATTATATTTGCTATTATATAGCTCAGGATTTAAAGACTATAACATGCAAATTTATCTATTTTTTTATTATTTTCAGCTCTGTAATTTTCTGATTTCTGCTTGAGAAGTCTTGTAACAATGAATGTAAAATGTGTTTAGACTTGGATTTTTATTTTATTTCAGGTTTTTTTTGTAAATTAAATTAAACATGTTTGGTAGACACAGGCTCACATTATTATCATTTATTGTTTTGTTATTTTATTGTATTGCTGTTGTTATTGATTTTTTTTATTCTGTTATTATTATTGTGTATTATAATATAATGAATCTTATAAAAGACTAAAAATAAGAAGCAGTGTTGATGCCACTGTATATTATGTTATAACCAACGGATCAATTTTTCCCTGAAAATCAACAATGCGAAACGAAAGACAAAGTGATGAGTGACATTTTAGTTCTTATCTGCAAATGTTAGTTTTAATGTTTCTGTAATTGAATCTTGATAATCTTTTGTTATTGTATATTTTTGATACTGATATTGTAATGTGTTTCGTGCTATCCATCAGCTCAACGTGAATAAATTGAAATTAGTAAAGATAATGTTTTTTATTTGGTAATGTTATCTGCAATAAAAGAGTCTCAATATACTGTACATTAGGTAAGATTATTTTTATCCCTTCTTTTTTTGAACTGTAGGACTAACTTTAATATGGTGTCATATTCAAAGTTTGAAAAGTCTTTTGAAACATCATTAAAGTATTTTGAGCTCCTTTGGTGAAAAAATTGGGGTTTTTTTTGGCAAATATTTATTAAATGTAATGTAGTTCAATTTATATACCCGTAGTGCTTTATACCGAAGTTTGAAAGCGCTCAAGGTGTGAACTAACTCGTACAATAACTCGCTGTTCCCCTAAGGGTGCTTCGTGCCTCAGCCACCCATCGGGGTACATCGGGGTAACCCCCTACTCATCTCGAGTTCTTTGAAGTGCACATAAGCCAAATTGTGTACAATGGGGCCTATGGTTTATATTCCTTTTTTGAAAAGAATTGGTTTCATCGCCAGAACTATAATAGACAAGCATGCCTTTCTATTGCTATATGTTGTGACTCCCCTGCCTTAAACGCTCAGTAGTTTGACTCGTTTAAGCTTATTGATATATGATGTAATTTAACAAATATGGATATTTTTTTTTCTTTCAGAAATTTGACCACCACTGTCCGTGGGTAAATAACTGCATTGGACGTCGGAATTACAAGTACTTCGTTCAATTTCTTCTTTCACTGACTATCCACATGGTATCAGTATTTACATTTACACTTCTTTACATCCTGACAAACAAGGACAACCTTAAATCTACGGAGAGTATTGTTGGGTATCCTTTCAAAATGTTGTTTATTTCTAATATTTATATCCCCAGTAATTTGATGTATGTGTTGAAATATATTCATTTGATTTTGTACTCTACCTTTAATTTATTTATGCTTTGTTATCAAGTGTATTAATAATGATCTTTAAATATTTGATATTGCATTAATGATTCCCGAATTCAGATAAGGATAATAATTTATTTCTTTTTACAATGTTTTTTTTCCAGTCAATGTTAAACGATCCTCAGAATAAAGAAATCTTTTACAACCATGAGACATTATAGACCAAAATAAGCTAAAAATACAATGATGTGCTAGTTGTGAACAGGGTGTATAATTTCTTAATTTCTTTTCATTTATTAATTTTTATTATTAATTGGTTTTAGCCGAAGGATATGACAAGAGTGAACTTAATCACTATTCAAAGTAGCATATCCCTTCAGAAGACAAACATACACGCAAGATGCGCTACATAAACTAAGTTTATGTAGGCTTAGGGAGTGGAGTTGTTTTGGTCGGGCAACAAAATCCTGATACAGTGACAGGGATTGAACCCAGGACCCTGGGATTGGAATGCAAGCATCTTAACCTACCAACCTATTCAACTCCACTAATTATAGTAGATACAAAGAACATTAGGTTTCTTAGATGGAGTTTTGTTGATAGCTACTAGTGGGATTCTACACCAGGTATTCTTGACTCAAAACTACTCATGTGACAAATCTTATAGCCACATACATTATCAAATCAAACATCCATTTGTGGTCTAACAGTAACAGTAGCCCTAGGTTTTATTGCAACAGAATATTCTTTTTTCTTGTAATAAAATTCCAATTTATCAAACATGTTTAATTTGTCTTAATACAGAGATCGTACCTTGTGCACTAAATGGAGGCGGTTAAGCGATACACACATTTCATATTTTGTGTATAGGTAATTGCATAGCTTTACTCCATAATGCTTGTATCTATTGACGTAGTAATGTTGAATTCTATTTAATTCACCTTCCTTTGTTTGTACTCTATTTTTTCCTCCGCCAAAGGTGGTTATGTATTGATCGTTGTCTGTCTGTTACCCTGTTAGCAAGATTACATAAAAACTAATGAATGGATCGTCATAAGATTTAGTGGAATGGTACATAATATTCAAAGAAAGAGATGATTAAATTTTGGGAAGAAAAGGTCAAAGGTAACAGAAATTATTTACCCCAAGCATAAAAGAAAATAATGGAATGCACTGCCTGCATATTGTTTGGTATTCAGGCAAAAGGCGGAAAATAATGGAATCGTCGTCATACACGACCTGCGTATTGTTTGGTAATGGTATTCAGGCACAGGGCAGATGTATTCATGGAGTGACTGCTCTAGTTTTTTCAATTAAGCGATACAGTTAGTGGGATTGTTTCTGTCTTAGTTATCATCATCTAAGGTCGTTGACATCCAGGTCATCCCCATGGTCAACAAACCAAACGGACTTAGACTTCAGTGTTTTTGATAATGTTTAGTTTTCCCAGATTTTTTAGTCTACAAATTGTTGTACCATTTGCAGTGTACAGAGCTGTTAAAAATAAACTCTTATAAAAGCCAAGTTAGGTTTGTTAGGCCCCATAAAAAAAATGATTAGTTTATCATCCCCGCGCGCATCTCTTTTGACGA